CAGTATGGTACTGTCATAAGAACAGATATATAGACCAATTAAACAGAATAAAGAGCCTATAAATAAATCCTAACATATATGGTTAATTGATTTTTCACAAGGGTACCAGGACCTTTCAATGGGGAAAGGACATCTTTTCAACAAATGGTGCTGGGAAAACTGGATACCCACATGCAAAAGACTAAAATTGGACCTTTAACTTTATACTATATATAAGAATTAACTCAAATAGATGAAAGACCTAAACTTAAGTACTAAAAGTATAGTACTTCTAAGTATTAAAAGTATAGTACTTAGAAGAAAATACAGGAGTAAATCCTGTGTTGGATTTGGCAACAATTTCACGGATGTGACAGCAAAAGCACAGGCAACAAAAATGAAATAGATAAATTGGACTTCGTCAACACCGAAAACTTCTACACATCAAAAGATACCACCAAGTAAGTGAAAAGACAACCTACAGAATGGGAGAAAATATCATATATCTGATAGAGGATAATACCTAGAATATATAAAGAAATTCTGAAATTCAACAACAATGAAAAACAAAAATCCCCGTTCAAAAATGGGCAAAGTACTTCAACGTTCTTCAAGGAAGATACACGAATTTCCAACAAGCATATGAAAAGATGCTCAAAATCATTAACCATTAAGGAAATGAAAAATCAGAACCAAAATGAGATAATATTTCACATCTACTAGGATGTCTATAATTTTTTTAAAAATGTCAGAAAATAACAAGTGTCGGTGAGGATGTGGATAAATCAGAACTCTCTTGCATCGCGGGTAGGACTGTAAAATTGTGCAGCCCCTGTGGAAAACACTTTGGCAGTTTCTCAAAAAGTTAAACAACTACCATGTGACCCAACAATTCTACTCCTACATATATATCCTTCTAGAACAGATATTTGTACACCAATGTTCACAGCAGCATTATTCACAATAGCCAAAAGTTTGAAACAACCCAAGTGTCCATCAACAGATGAATGGATAAACAAATAACATACACACACACACATACAGACATATATATATAAAATGGGATATCACTCACCCATAAAAAGGAATAGATAATTGATATATGCTATAAGATGAATAGACTTTGAAAATACTATGCTTGGTGAAATACGCCAGATACAGAAGGACAAATGTTGTATGACTCCACTTATATAAAGTACTCGGAACAGGCAAATTCATAAAGAAAGATAGTAGAAGAGAGATTATTAGGGGTTACGAGTAGGGGAGTAGAGAGAGTTATTATTTAATGGCCACAGAGTATTTTTGGTGGTGACGGTTACATAACATAGCAAATGTATTGACGTCACATTAACAAACGGTTAGAATAATAAATATTATGTTACATATATTTTATCACAACATTTTTAAAAGAAGCATTAGGTACACTTGTAAAACTGCTTTTGGTCATCAGGCAGAGGGACAGTATATCTTGGTCAAATGCGCAGTTTTTGAACCACATTTCTAATGGATAAGGATGTAGTTTAATGTAGTTAAATTTAATAAGTTTCATGGTCAGACTTAATCCCCAAAGCTAGTGCTTTAGAATTTTCAAAGAACTTCCATACATTTTAACAAATTTAATATTTACACTCACACTGAGCAGTGGACAAATCATAACATATTTTTAAGATGACAAAAACATGAAGCTCAGCAAGGTGAAATGATACATTCAAGTAAGAACTAAAATAATCCATGTAAAATATTTAGGACAGCGTTTGGCACAAATAACTATTCAGTAAGTTTTATATATTGTCATATTACAACTAATAAATGAGTAGAGAAGCCAGGGGCAGACAGAGATCCTATTCCCAGGATCTCACGCGAAATGTCGAGTGCTGTTACTGCAGCAATCATTTAAAAAATCCCAAATATACAAAGTCCATGGGTCAGCAGCATCATCCCTAACACATGAAGGAGGCCATTGTTTTTATTTCACAGGCAATTCAATCTTGATCTGATATACACATTGGCATCTATGAAAGAGGCTTAATCTTTTAATTTTCTCAAATATAAGTGCTAAATGTGTTTATCGTACCTTGGATTGCTGCATCTCTCAGTATCATAATGTGAAAGAGCAAAGCAACCAAAATTCTGTGGTTGCTATTCTGGGCCCTTTTGAGTTCCTTTCCAGAAAGAAGTTTCTAATTATAGAACCATTAAAATTTCGGGAGCTATTAAGGATTAAAACTCAATAAAGCTATTTCTACAGAGATCAATCGAATAGATGTTACCCTAAAACTGCATAATCCCTGTGGTCAACATGCCTCATCAGCAACCTCAAGGTCAGAGAACTTGCTTGATGTTCACTGCACACTGAGACCCTGAAATGCTCTGAGCAATGGTCAATTCATCTGAAGGGGAGAAGGCCCGTAGTCCTAAATATATTTGTCTAGACCGTCCTTGTATGGATTCAGCCAACTTTGACAGTGAACATCACCCAAGGTGGACCTGGCTTTCTGGAAATCAAGACGATTACTCAAACAGCTGGAGGCACAAACAAACACTATGTACAGTTTTAAGTAAAGGAAGGTGGAAAAGAAACAGAAAGAGTCATTTATTTTGTAATTTTGTAAAGACCCAGAGAGCACTTGCTCATCCTCTTGCTTTGGGGACCACAATATAAAGTCATGTCACTGTTTCAAGGCTTTTATATGTGATAAAGCTACTCGCTTCTAAAAATTTATTCATGTGTATTTCGAGTGAAATTATCATAGCTCAGTTTGGGGCAAAAAAGTTTTCCTGGTCTAAACTCTAGTCCAACAGTATTCTACTCCCCCAATCATGTGAATAACATGAACACTGCATAAATTAAGTCTCCTGAGTAATTCCTCTAATTATATAAGAACATATCATTTTAACCCTTTTAAAGTATATTTTATATACACAATGAAGCTTAGATTAGCCAAAGTATTAAAAAATTTAGTTATGGTTACTTAAATTCTCTGCCATAACTTAGGAGTCACCAGAAAATACTTCTTTTTTTTTTTTTTTTTTACCAGCCTTGCTTGTGATTAAAAATAATCCTACATGTCCAACTCAATTGTCCTGCCTTACCCAAAAAAGTTTTAGCCAACATAATAAACACAACTTTGCTACCCCAGGATGCTACTCTATGCTACACATATGCTGTTCAATGGAGGGAACTCACTCCTGCACGATATTGTCTCAATCTCTATATTCTTCTCAGTTACATGTTATAATTCCTTTGAAGTTGTATAAGAAGACTTTTTAAAAAATTATCCAAATTCACTGACTCTACAACATCTTCCCCCATGACAAACGTCATTGTTTTAACAAAATTAGGTAAGTAACATGTTAACTATGTTGATGTAGAAAATAAAGCCCCTTTCTGATACTGAAGTGAAAATTTTTAAATTTAAAAACACTGAAATTAAATAGAGTTTCCACATTTAGTTCACTTAAAAGGTTTCTAAGATTGGTATAGGGATGGCAACTCAGATTCAGGATAAACCAGTAAATTTGGTTTCTATCAACATTCCAAAGGAAGTCAAGATGAAGACACAGTTCAGAACAACTTATAGGGATCAGAGGAGAACTAAACCACTGCACTGACAGAAACATATTCTCTGACAAAATATACTCCTGTTTTTAATATCGATACCAATTTCATAGGGAATATAATTTGTTCTGAAAATTCTTCTCTAGAAATATCAATTTTTAGCAATTTGAATAACATAATTTTCTTTCACTCAGGTATCCAAAAACCTTTGATAATACTAGGTTTGACTAATTTGTACCTGAGGAATTTTCAACATCAGTCCTTAAATTAGTCAATCCCTTAACATCTCTATTCCTTGAATCATTTGAGTTTTGACATCAACATCTTACCTTTCCTCACAAGGAAAGGGGTTTACTGCAAAAGAGTCATAGACGGCAATGAGCAATTAAAATAGATTTAAAAACTCACTGGATTTCTTTTTATTCTATTTAGTAAGCTTCCTTATCAAAAATTTTAGTAAAGTGATTTATAGTTTATTATTGCCTTAAGCATATTAAAATGCCTTTGTTCACTTTATAAATCTCACACACAAAGAAACTGCCACACTCAGATTTGTTGCATGCAGATTTGGCGGTTAATATAAGCAGGTTAGTATGTTAAAAAGAACTTGACACAGAAATTATTAATGAGTAGAACAAGGTCACTACTTCTGAGCTGAGGTCACTTACAAAGAATGCACAAATGAAATTAAGGTTGACTTTTATTTACTTGACTATCTTCTTACATTGGATTCCTTTGGCAACATATCTTTAAACATTTAAAGCCCTGTTTACAAGGAGGCTCTGAAAGAAGCTTCAAACCATTATGTGTTCCTAATTGAATTCCCCAGGAGTCCAGTAAACTCAGAGGAATAAAGAAAAATCATAACATTTGCTAAATCATCTCAAAACATATTTCGCTGCAAGGTTATGTGACCCGTTTTTTGAGGTTCAAAGATGAATGTGAAAATACTACTGAATGCTTCATTATTTAAACTAAAATAAAAAAAGAATTTTACCTACTAATGGTAGGCTAATTAAATCAGTCCAGTTTTAACTTTTCTTTTAAGATAAATCAGACAACAAACAATAATAACATTTTATACTGTATGTGACCACTCTCCCGAATATAAAAGCTCTCAGGGGAAGGAAAGCATCTTGAACCAAAGACAATTATTCACAGTAAAGGTATGAGAGAGAGAGCTGACAAAAATTGGTAGTCCCCAGGGAAAGTAGCATTTTATCTGTGAAATCAAAACAAACTCAAGTGGAAGAAGAGAAAGTAAAAGTTTTTAGCAACCAATTAGTTTATTAACATGACACCTTCCCAATTAACTTCCCAACTCTAATTTTTCTTTAAAATAAGCTTTTATGATCATCTTATTCATAGTTCTTTAGTATGCTCCTGTGTTTGTTGTGACTATTAAGCAATAACATGTGAATTTTAGCATTTCCAAAAGAATGTTCAATCCCTCTCTACTTACCTGGCTTGTATGTTATTCCAGGGGGGAAGAGGAATCCCTGTTGGGCAGCAGCAGCTGCTGCCAGGGTCCGCTGGTCATGTGGAAAAATTGGGATCATGAGCGGAGGCATGTGACCCTGAACCTGCTAAACAGAAGAGAGCCTATGATCAGCCAGAGACCAAACATATGCCAAGAAGTATTTGTTTTTCACTCCTGGTGGTGCTCTGGTACCCAGACAGCCACCCATTCCTAACCTCATCTCCAATATGCTCCCTGAGAAAATTTGGGCAAATTTTACCAAATCTCTTGTCTTAGATTCCATTAGCACACCAAGAAAATAACCTCATTGAGAACGCTACATTCC